CACCAAGCCCAAAAAAGCCCGGTCTAGATAGGGTTAAAGAAATGCTGTATTTTCCACCCACCTTCATGCAGAATTTTTGTTCCATGTCGTTACGCCACATACCGCCATCAAAATGCAGACCTGATGACCAACTGTTGCTGGAGGCGGTGTCTTCTGTGTCATGCCTACGGACGCCCGTCCGCCAATTAACACCTGCCGGCTCGGGACAGCCTGTATTTGTCCGGGGTAGACCGTAGGTACCAGTCGGCCACTCTGTGTGAGAAAATGTAACATTTTTTTTTTATTCCAACATGTAATTACGAGACGTGGTGACGGCACACTCAAGATGTTCAACTTCTATTAATGCCACCACCAACACAGGGGACAAATACATGACAGGGCAATACTTATTTTCACCAGAACGAAGTGAGGAAAGTCGTGTAAAGTGCCTTTCCCAAGGGCACAAGATCGGTGGCATGACAGGTCTCGAACCCGGGACCTCTCGGTTCGCGCACTCTGCCGCTACGCCATACGACCCCACTACGCCACCCGACCCCACATGTAACATTCATACACTGTTCGAAAGTATTGATGTTAACTGAGGAAAAACTCTCCATTAGCTGCCCACCCGAGGGTGTCAGCTATTCTTCCAGGAGTGAGTACATAAAACATAACAATACAACAACAACATAAAATCACATACTATATTACGTAGTTATTTAAAAACAAATGTGTAATATCGTATATGCTTTACTTATTCATATCCCTCATGTGCTTTAGTAGGCCTTGTTTGAACTTCTCATGTGATGATACCCATTGCAACCCATGCTGCAGTAGTTCTGTATGTGAAGGCGTTTTTAGTGCTGTTTGTTTTTGGTGTACATTTAAAGGACGCTGAGGATGGTTCTCAAGCTTAAGCCTCATCGGAGTTTTTTTTTTTAATTAATTTTTTTTAGCAAAGGCAAAAATCATAATGATGTCATCCATAAAATTAAAATAGTTAGGCATTATCGATAGTACAATAAGTGCCTACCTGATTTTTTTAGCAAAGGCGTAAATCATAATGATGTCATCCATCAAATTAAAATAGTTAGGCATTATCAATAGTACAATAAGTGCCTACCTAATTTTTTTAGCAAAGGCGAAAATCATAATGATGTCAATCAAAAAATTATGATAGTTAGGCATCATCAATAGTACAATAAGTGCCTACCTAATTTTTTTAGCAAAGGCGAAAATCATAATGATGTCATCCATAACATTAAAATAGTTAGGCATTATCAATAGTACAATAAGTGCCTACCTAATTTTTTTAGCAAAGGCGAAAATCATAATGATGTCATCCATAACATTAAAATAGTTAGGCATTATCAATAGTACAATAAGTGCCTACCTAATTTTTTTAGCAAAGGCGAAAATCATAATGATGTCAATCAAAAAATTATGATAGTTAGGCATCATCAATAGTAAATAAGTGCCTACCTAATTTTTTTAGCATAGGCGAAAATCATAATGATGTCATCCATAAAATTAAAATAGTTAGGCATTATCAATAGTACAATAAGTGCCTACCTAATTTTTTAGCAAAGGCGAAAATCGTAATTATTTCATCCATTAAATTAAAATAGTTAGGCATTATCAATAGTACAATAAGTGCCTACCTAGTGGCTCTTCTACTAGTTGACTCATCACCGTGTTGATGATTTCTTCCGTGAGCTCTGCCCTACAGGCACCGCACGGCGAATTCGCTCTCAGATCCTCCTGCTCTTGGGCCAAACTGACGGACCTGTTCTCCACAGTTTCCACCCTCAAAGAGAATGCATTCACCATCCCTAGCAACCTTGAGCTCTCGTTCTTGTTACTGATGGCCGCCTCCGAGTTTTCGTTGGTTGTGTTGAGGACCGCCTGCAACCTGTCGTCTAGGTCTAGAATCGCAGGGTCCATCGTCTCGACTATGTCGTCTTCCAGTCGTTCCTGGCTCTCCTTGTACTTACGCTCGATGGCGAGGAGGCGATTGTCCATGTCAAGGACTTGCTGGTGAATGGTAGTCATCATGTCTGTACGAAAAAAAAATGGTATAGGAAAAAACATATTTTACCGACAAAATTGTGGTGTCGTATCAGGGAAGAATAAGGGTGATGATTTATTTATATTTATTTATTTTTTGTAGCGCAATCACAAAACTCAGAATTGGCTGTCACAAACTTAGTATAGAAACCTGAAGATGCCATGAAATTCCCAATGACCAGAGGATTTGTCCATTTTGTTCAGAGCTTATTGAGGACGAATATCACTTTCTAATTGTGTGTCCTAAATATATTTATATACGCAATACACTATACACTAGACTATCAGATTCCTTTCCAGCATTTGCCACTTAACTTGAAAAGCAAATTTAAATACGTATTGACTTGCGACAACCCCTACATGCTATACATAGGGATATATAATAAAGACTGTAAGGATAGTAGAAACTCCTCCAAAGATTGTGTAAGATATCTCATACTAGCCACCCACTTCTGTATTAGTTAGATTAGCCTTATGAAAATGTAGTTGATATGTACTTAAGTCAGTAGATGCCATACTTTGTACCATGTACAACTGTTGCGCAATAAAGTTATTATTATTTATTCAGAATTGTAACATGACAATACGAAGTGTGCACACCTAACACATACCTGGACATATGAACAACATAGGGGTGATGATGTTAATCGGTTTACCCAACATACCTTTGAAAGATTTCTGTGTGTTTCGTACTGTAGTCAGGTCGGCGTGGAGTCTATCAACCATTTCAGCAATCTCCAGATTTCCTACAAATTTGATTTGAGTCAGAGTAAAAGATCAGGATAAGTCTTGGAATGTGTTCAACAAATAGTCGACGATGCGTATTATATAATTAGTCCATGGGCAGACCTGCCAGTACCACTTGAAAAGGCAAATTCTCATTATGTTTTTTTAAACGAAGGGTGTCTGTGGAATATGTTTTGATGTGATAGCCGTCGCTTTGACCTTGCTATCTGACCTTGAACTTGATCTTGAAAATAATCAGATATGGATATTTTTCAACGCAACTTCATAAGCAGACAAAATAGGAACCATGGATAACTAAAAACCAATTTTTGGTAAAAATTGGTAAAAAAATGCAATGTTACATACATTAGGACGACTTTTGTACCATGTAATATGAAAAGAAATTACTTTGCTGTTCCGAGGTTGCAAAGTAGACGTGGGGCGTGGCCTAACTTTCAGGTTGGGAAATGTACAATGGGTACGAACGGTAATTTGAATTTTTTTTAATTTTTGCTTTATATCCCCATTTGTCAGTCGCAATAAACCATGCTTCATATTAAATGAGAGGTCATTAATCATGCAAATTAGCTTATGATGTACACGATCAGCCTATAGTTATGCCGCGTTATACTATGAACAGCCTCCATTTTAACTAGAGTTCCACGATCTCATACCTTCGCCAAATGATGTTAGCCTTATGTTTATATATTAGATATATGTTTATATATTAATCCCCCTGACGATGCAAATATGATCCTCAATTGCATGAATTATATCTGTTGATCATATTCTTCACCAAAAGACAGTCTTATCTAATGCCATTATAGCATTTCCTCGTAAATTATGCAAATCAGGCCCCGTTATGTTTCATTGTGTTCACTTTCACGTAACTTTTAAAAACCCCGAGTATGAAATTCCAGGCAATTACCACTATGGAATTATGACATTTTCTTATTAATTATGCAAATTAAGTCTTCATTTACAGGGGTTAAAATACCCGGTCTCGCAGTCTCGCCGCGCAAGTAATTTTTTCTGTGCGAGACTTATTCGGAAAGCCAGGTTGCCCGGAGCGCAAGTTATTTTTACAGCGGCTGGGTTTACGGCCAGCGGCTTCTGAAATAAACAGTGCCGCGGTCCCGCCTGATAACATCCCGCCTCGGCCTGCCGGCCTGCACGTGAGCAGTCCCTCTACTCAAATAACAGCGGGTGTTGATAATTTGGCGTTTCGCCTCCCTGAGCACGTGCGCGTAGGGATTTAATTCCAATATTTCCCCGATAAATATGTTCGTCATTCGAATTTTCTTCGGCCGAGCGGCGTGGATCGAGCCGCTATCCTGCCGGCTGTGCGCGTGAAGTTTTCGGCGGTTCCGCGGAAAAATAATCCATCCCCAGAAGAAATGTCACGCATGAAAATAACAACTATACCTTAGTTTCCCCGTTTAATGAGTTTTTGAGGCCGTGAAATGTTTAAAACGGTTGAAATTTGTCCAAAAAACCAGCTCGAAAGACTGAGAAATAATGGCCAACATGGCCGACACATATTGACAACAAAAGTGGTCAAAGGTCAAAGTTAGCATCCAAACGTACAGGACATTGCAATGTGCTATAAAAACGATGCTTTAAACGCATGAAATTATTTTTCGGCAACAACAGAAATAAAAATTCACTCATATTTTTAGAAGGGTAATTTTCAAACATTACTGTGAAATTTTTCAAATTTATTGGTTTCTAGCTTCAGAATATAATAGTTGTTTCTTAGAATTTGCGGTTGGATGCTGTGAAGGACTTGACATATATTAAGTATATTAGACATATATTAGACATATATTAGACATATATTAGACATTAGAGATTTAATATGATCATGCCTACCAGTTTTTGAGTAGGAGTCTCATAGACATAATCACAATTTTATTTGTTCAGCTGTGTCAATATGTGATTTTGTTTGGGATATGATAGGGTTACTACTACTAGCTTAGTTATATTTGGTTTAGTTTATTAAGATGTTGGTAACACCTACTTGCTCCAAGTTCCAGGTAGTAAATACATGTACATTTTGTATCATGTATTTTTCACTTGTTGAACTTGTGGAAGCACCGTTGGCCCCCGGTTAGGGGTCATCCGGGGACCTATGCCCAATTTTTTTCAAAATTAAGGGTGCTAACAGTACTCAG